CAGTTCGTGTAGTTTAGTAGTTTATTTGTCACTCTTTTTTCCTCCTCCTCGATCCTCTTCGACTTTCTCTACATAAAGTTGACCCATATGGCCAGTTCGTGTAGTTTACTAGTTTATTTGTCACTCTTTTCTTACTCTTTTCTCCTCCTCCTCTTTGTTCTTCTTCTTCTTTTAAAGCTTAAAAAATTAAAATTAAGAGTCATTTCCTTGAACGTTTGGGGACTTAAATTTATAACTTAGTCTTTATTTATTTATATTATTATTATTATTATTATTTCCTTTTGTCAACAAAGAAGCATAGTTTCTTCATTTTATTCGTTTTACTTGTATATTATATTTAACCTAAAACCTTTTATTTTTAATAGAAAAAGAATTAATATTGAGTGTTATTAACACATGAATCATATTATAATACAATCAATCTAGACAATTTTTTTATCTGCCAATTTAATAAATTAAATTACAAACTACAACCATCCAACATAAAATCAATGTAGTATTTGAACTTGGGAGCTATGAGTAGCAACTCTACTATTTATTCTAATTCCTTTATTGGTCTATCAGTTAAACATATTCTTCTTCTTATATATAGACTCTTAGGCTAAATAAGAAAATATTAAGTTGGAGACTATAAAATAGGAGGTTAAAAAAAAAGAGTTTCATGTTTTTAATTTAAATTCTATTAGATTACAAAACAAGAATTATTAGAAGAAAAATAACCCTCAATTTTAAAAAATTCACTCTCAATTCAATAATTTAAATTATACAATTTAAACTATACAAAAAAAAAACAGTACTTTTTTTTTCAATATATATATATAAAGTGGAGACAGGGGATAAAACCATCAAATAATTAAATAAATAAATAAATAAAAGGGTGGAAATGGAAGAGTCTACTTCAATTCTATATAAAGTTACCAACAGCTTAGTGCAGGCCCAAATATCCAGGCTTGGGCCGAAGTCGTGGGTTTCAGGTGGGGTATATCTAAATAGTAAGACACATGCGACCCTAACAACACGTGCCACTGAGGGTCCCTCCA